GCTCTTTTCTTGCATGAATCATGCTCTTAATCCTCCCAGGGTGGGCCCCGCCCCCAAGCCCCTGCAGATAAAAATCACCCTAACCCTTGGGGCTTGGCAGTCAGTGGAGGCCCCACTGCCCATCAAGTGAACTCACTGCGGGTTCGGTGCCCCAAGCCCTGCCCTGTGCTGACAGCCTGGGAGCCTGGAGTCTTGCCGGGATTCTGTGGTGCCATCTCTGCCCCCAACCCACAGATTCTGCCTCTGTCTCTCCTCAAAATAAATAAATAAAAAATCGAAGCCTGGGTGGCTCAGTTGTTTACATCTGACTCTCGCCTCAGGTCATGATCTCGCAGTGGTTCGCTGAGCTCGAGTCTCTCATGCCGGGCTTGGTGCTGACAGCCCAGAGCCTGAGCCTGCTTCAGATTCTGTGTCTCCCCTCTCTCTGCCCCTCCCCTGCTCACATTCCCCACCCCTCTCTCTCTCTCTCTCTCAAGAATAAATAAAAAACATTCAAAAAAAAAAAGGTCACCCAACCCTTATTTTGTAAAACAAAACACTGTAAAACAGTCCCATCCCAAGGATCTGGTCTAGACTTCCTGAATCAGATCTTCCGTATGGTATAGGACTATTTGTTTATTTGACCAGCAGCCCAGGTGACTGTTCTCATCAGGAGTCTTAGAAGACACCGATTACAGCCTCTGGTTTAGGTATTTTCTGCCTTTTTTTTCCTTTTTAGAAGGGGAAAATTAACAGAAAAGAAATTTCGAACTAACAGAAAAGAAATTTCAGAAGCAGGCTTCCTCCCTAGTCTTTGCCACACTCCATGCTAATTTAGAATTACTTTCAGTGACCTGCTGTGCCTTTCCAAAGCTTCCAACAAATTTTCCTAGAATAACCCTCTTCACAACTATATTTTGGGATTTATAATAATTCTTTACTTGACGTGAGATAATCACAGTAACCGTTAGGAAGTGGCATGAACAGATTCCAGAACAAACACAGTGGACCTGTCAGCCCGCTGGGGGGGGAGGCTGGTGGTGCACGGGCCAAGCAACACAAGTCTTCAAGCACTTTTGGTATTTTTTTTGCATCTAACATTCTGTATCGGAATGCAGTAAAACCCTGATTCAAGTAGTAACTTGTTCCGCCAGCTGCCTGCAAACGCAGAAAGCAAACATTTCTAATAAACGCTAATCCTTGATGAACGAAAATGTCTCGCAACACGAAAGTAGTAGGTGAAGCCGTAATCACATGACGCAACTGAGCCAATGGTTCTTGAGTTCTTGATATACGAAAGTGCTTTGGATTACAAGCATCTTTCCAGAAACCTAATTATGCTCGCGAAACCAAGGTTTTACTGAGTTGAAAACCATGCGATTTAGGTGTATTAGAAATAAAATACTGAAATTTTATAATAAAAATGCATTATAAGCAAATCAGCCATTATCATGGTTTTATTTTTTATTTTTTTAATGTTTATTTTTGAGAGAGAGACAGAGATAGAGACAGAGAGCGGGGGAGGGACAGAGAGAGAGAGGGAGACACGGAATCCGAAGAAGGCTCCAGGCTCTGAGCTGTCAGCACCAGAGCCCGACGCGGGGCTGGAACTCACGAGCTGCGAGACCATGACTTGAGCCAAAGTCAGTCACTTAACCAACTGAGCCACCCAGGCGCCCCTTCATGATTTTAAATGTATCCAGTCTCAGTGTCACAACTGCTTGATACTCACCATCATCTATTTACAAAATAGATATACAAGCCCTTTCCTTTAAATTTTTTTTTCTTGAGAGAGAGAGAGCGAAAGAGAGAGTATGAGCGGCAGGGTGGGGGGCGGGGGGAGCAGAGAGAAAGCGAGAGAGAGAATCCCAGGCAGGCTCCCTTCTGTCAGCATAGAGCCCAAAGTGGGGCTCGATCTCATGAACCGTGAGATCATGACCTGAGCCATAATCAAGGTCAGATGCTTCGCTGACTGAGATGCTCAGGTTGCCCCCTTTTTCCACAGTCTTCACGTTTTTTCTTCTTCTCTTTGAACTTTTATTTCCACACTTGATCTTAGCCAAAAGGCCGAGAAGGGATGAACTTTTATTTCCGTTCTTTCACTATATAAATTCATATTAATGTAATATATTTTTATGCTTAAAAATATTTTTTGTTAACTACTCTATTTCTGTAGCACAATATGATATGAATCTTTTATTTTCCGTTTCCTTAAAACTTAAAGACTGTCCTATTGAAAAATTTCTCCAGATTGAATCATCGCTACAACAATTTGTGGTATAGCTGTTGAAAACAACACATAAATAATAAATTTTGACTAATAATTCCATAAAAGTGAAATTTAATTGGAAACGCATCTTTTAATGTTTTATTTATTTTTGAGATACAGAGAGAGACAGAGCAGGAGCGGGGCAGGGTCAGAGAGAAGGAGACATAGAATCTGAAGCCGGCTCCAGGCTCTGAGCTGTCAGCACAGAGCCCGACGCGGGGCTCGAACTCACGAACTGTGAGCTCATGACCTGAGCCGGAGTCGGATGCTTAACTGACTGAGCTACCCGGGTGCCCCAAAACGCATCTCTTAATAGATGCATGGGCCACAAACTTTTTGGATTAGTTCCCGTGTCCCTGGCTAAGTGTTAGAAGGAGACAGTTTATGTTGTTCCTGCCCAATCCACCGGCAGTCACCAGAAACAAATCTGTAGTCAGATCAAGTTTACTGGTTCTCTGCAAATGAGGGAGACCGCATCCCAGGGGGACATGGTGCGTGTCCCCATGCGAAGGAAAAGGTGCCGTGACTACAGGATTTGGAGGGAGGGTAGAGCTTAGGTGAAATTTAAATAAAGCTGTTTTGGGGAGACGGAACGGCAAGCAGGGCTGTGTGGAAGGGGGTCAGGTGCAGTCTGGCAGGCAGCGTGGGCACAGGGTCCTGTTTCCCTAGAGCCTGCAAAGTGAAGGTAGACGTGGAAGGCTGTGTCCGGATGCCCTTTATCTGAAGGTCTGCTCCGGGATTGGAAGTCAAGGCTGCTGGTCAGTGGCACGGTAACTTAGATCCTCTGAGCATACTTACCCTTTACCGCTGTGATTTCCAACAGCAGTTTTGGGCAGTTTATGATTTTAGAGAACAAAGTTCCTCCCTGAGTAACAACAACAACAAAAAGCAGCAGTCACGCAGAGAAGGGGGGTTGTCAGGATCCTTTGCAGCTCCTCCTGGGAAAAAATACCGTTTTCTCTTTGCACTTGGCTTTCTCTGCGTCTCTTGTTCTCTCTAGTCTGAGGGCTGGGAGGGCACACTTTTACTGAATCGCATTTAGTGATCTCGTCGACGGCCCTATCGGGCCAGATGCTCTATCCGGTTTTATCGAAGACAGGAGCGGAGTGGCCCCTACTTGCCTAAGGATGTGTCGTCACCCCGTCTCCGGAAACCGTTTGTTTTCTGAGATGCACACCAACATTTCAAACGCCCCTTTATCTGGCCCCTCGAAAGTTTGCACGTTCTGTGATAAGGCATCGTGGCAAGGCTCCAGGCGGGTGAGGGGCTCGGCTTGCTCTTGGAAAGTGTTCCTTCTAAACTGAACGGGGCAAGGGGCAGGTGAAAGGTCACTTTCTCAGCCGTTGAGGCTGCGGGGATTCCCTGTAAGTTCTCCGTGCCTGGCTGGCATTTTTGGAAGGTCCTCAAGGGGCTTCAACCGTGCAGGTGAGGAGCTTTCTGGCAGCCAGTGTTCAACATACTGTAGGTGGCCGGAAGGAGTGGAGGTGTCACTGGGTGGGGACATCCGTTAGCAGCACTCTGTCCAGAGACAAGACTGTTTGAGGTCTGAGGCGTCCACAATTTGTGTTGTGTCAATAATAAACGATATGGGGCGTGTGGGTGGCTCAGTCAACTAAGCATCCAACTCTTGGTTTCAGCTCACGTCGTAATCTCACAATTCGGGAGATCGAGCCCCGCGTTGGGTTCTGCGCTGGCAGCATGGAGCCTGCTCGGGATTTTCTCTCTCTCTCTCTCTCTCTCTGCCCCTCTCCTGTCTGTCTCTCTGTCCCTCTCTCTCTAAATAAATAAGTAAACATTTTAAACAGTTTTTAAAAAATACAGCATGAATGGTGAATTACATTGAACATGTGCTTTTTCCATTTTTAGTTGTGCTCAGTTGGCTTGCTTATTAACATACTAGAAAATCCTACTTTTACAGGATTCTCCTAATCCTGCATTCAGAGTTGGGCTTATTTTTTGTGTTTTTCCTCAAAGGAAGCCGAAATCATTAATTTTTCTTCTTTGTCCCTGCTGTTTGCTCTTTATGTTTGTTTCTTTCTCCTTTCTGACTGTATATACGTCAGTTAGTCGTGAAGTCCAGTGGATCGCTTGAGGGGCCTGTTCAGCTAAAATGTTCATGGTCTGTGTGGTCCATGAGGTTATTTTTCTTTAGTCTTTTTTTTTTTTTTTAATGTTTGTTTGTTTGAGACAGAGCGTGAGCAGGGGAGGGGCAGAGAGAGAGGGAGACACAGAATCCGAAGCGGGCTCCAGGTTCCGAGCTGTCAGCACAAGCCCGACGCAGGGCTCGAACTCACAAACCGTGAGGTCATGACCTGAGCCGAAGTTGGAAGCTTAACCAACTGAGCCCCCCAGGCGCCCTTCTCTTGTCTTTAGTGCACGAAAATGCTCTTTTAATGTAGTATATAGATTTTGTAAAACTCAAGTTTCAGTTATGAGGTTGGCAATACGGTCATAAAATGCACTTTACAATTATGTCTCCCCTACCCCGTAAAATAAAATTCGTGTTTATAGCACCTGAATTCTAGGCTGTTCCTTTCCTAACTAAATCCCCTTGATTTCTGTGGCCGACCTGTAATGAAATGTCTACATCTAGAATTGTCAGAAGCTAGTTTGCCAAGAGTGGCGACAAAGTTCACAATACCGTTATTTGTGAGATTTGGGATTTTACTTTGGATACAACCACGCAGTGTGTGAGCAGCTGAAGTCGTATGTTCATTTTGCTCCTAACTCTGCTGTATTTGTCCTGTTTCAGGTTTCACTTCCAGGGGCCTTGCGGTACCACTCTTCCTGAAGCCCTTGCTCCTCATGAAACTGAAAACGTGTCTTAATTGTCCCGGGGAAAGAAGAAATTGTGGCACATCTAAGTACCGGGCCACAAACAGAGGCGAAACAATCATGGGGATGGTGAGCTAAATGTTAGAAAATCTAGAAATAACCTCCAATTCCCTGGCTGGAATCCCACCGGATGATAAGTGATGGCAGTTTGGAAGGAGCAATCGCAAACGTGGTTAGAGGGAGAAGTCAATGAACAGTGGAGTTGATGCAGTGTTATTTTGTGTGAACTTAAACACAGGATATCTCTGATGTGTTTGGTTGGTTATTGGAAGGGGATATTTTTGTGATTAGATTTTCTTTTAAAGAAGCAGTTGTGCTGATTTTATTGTTGCTATCTGGGCAAAGATAGGAGTAGAGGGGTCAAACCTTGGTATTTCTAATTTTTGTCAAGTTTTGGTGGAAAATAAACTCCCTCTCTACGGTAGGTGATTTATTGTATAAAGATGCTACCCCAAGAGATGTCTTTGTTGGGGGATTTTCCTTTTCGGTGTTTTCCTCGTTTGTCTGTCTTACCTCACAGTGCGGGGGATAACCCCACAACAAAAAGTCATGCAAGGAAGGAAGAGAAAAGTAGCACAAGACAGAAAATCAGGGGGCGCTTGGGTGGCTTAGTCGGTTGAGCGTCTGACTTCGGCTCAGGTCGTGATCTCGCAATTCACGAGTTCGAACCCCGCGTCGGGCTCTGTGCTGACAGCTCAGAGCCTGGAGCCTGCTTCAGATTCTGTGTCTTCCTCCCTCTCTACCCCTTCCCTGCTCACGCTTTGTCTCTGTCTCTCAAAAACAAATAAGATAAAAAATGTTAAAAAATTTTTCTAAAAAGATAGAAAATCCGGATTAAAAAAAAAATAAACGATGCAAATATATGGACTCCAAGGGCAAACACAGCTGCCTAAAGTCGAGCGCTGGCCTTCTTAGCAGCCAAGGAGGAAAGGGGGACGTGATCGCTGTTTCTCAATAACATAAACACAGAAGCAAATGGTCTGTGTATGGTGGAAAAGTCCACCAAGCTTTCCCAGACACTGAATTCTGAAGCTTTTTTTTTTTTCCCTGTGGACTTTAAAAAAATTATGCCCATTCTACCTTGGAGTAAAGTAGTAAAAATACAGCTCCCGCTCAAGCCTCACCATCTAATGCCACACCCAGGGTCCCAGAATGCCTGCTGTCTGGCCTGACCGGGAAGAGTGGTCTTTAGGAAACAGTGGAGGGAAGTCAGCCCTACCTGGGTCCCTTAGATGAGGTGGGTTCCCTGGGTGATCACACACTTGGGCCACGTTGCCTCAGCCCCTTACAAAACCACATCTAATGTTACACTGTTGGCTCTCGTAGAAATAGACAAGACACGGTCACATAAAACTTTGTACTGCATTTGCAAGTCATAGCTTTTCATAAATCCCAGAGGTTCTTTGCTTGGGCAAGAGGGGTGTTCATAACCTACAAGGAGTCTGAAAGACCAGCCAAGCATCTTGAGGGCTCGATTCCCACTTTTCATCATTCACTTTTAATAGTTTTGTTGTTGGGCTTCTCAAAGTTAAATGCATACATTTTCCTAGGGTTAGCGATGTCAGAAGTCAGCATACTGTCTCAGTGAGTCTGATTATATATATTTTTTCAAGTTTTTTTTGCGAGAGAGAGAGAGTGCGCACATGTGCAAGTGGGGGAGGGACAGAGAGGGAGGGAGGGAGAATCCCAACCAGGCTCCATGCCACCAGCGCAGAACCTGATGCAGGGCTCGAAACCATGAACCATGAGCTTGTGACCTGAGCCAAAGTCAGACACTTAACTGACTGAGCCACTCAGGCATGCCCCGCGAGTCTGATTACATTTTTAACCTGTAATTTCTATCTGACCAAAGCCCACGTATTTCGGAACTGTTCTTTGCAACTCTTCTCATCCTGGGCCTTTGGCACCAGTGGCTTTTTTTATTTTTAGTTTTTAGTTTGATTCGTGTTTTTTCATTTTTGTTCACGTTTTGGTTTTGTTAGAGAAGATGGAAAAAAAGAGTTGAAAATACAAAATGTATGTGAGGTAGCATTATTTAATTCAATTTAATGTTTACTGAATGGCTCCCATATGATAGACACTGGAAATAAGATGATCGGCAAGATATGGACCTTACCCTCCAGGAGTTCACAGAATGGTTGGGACAACTGTTACGTAAACTATTTTACAGTGTGGCAACTACAGTGAAGTAATATGCCCAAGATTCAGGGAAGAATGCAATTAGAGATGGGTGGAGAGGGGATAGGGTAGATATTAAGGCACTTTAAGAGGAAGTCAGCCTTGGGGTGCCTGGGTGGCTCAGTCGGTTAAGCCTCCGACTTCGGCTCAGGTCATGATCTCCTGGTTCGTGGGTTCGAGCCCCGCGTGGGGCTCTGTGCTGACAGCTCAGAGCCTGGAGCCTGTTTTGGATTCTGTGTCTCCCTCTCTCTCTGACCCTCCCCCGTTGATGCTCTGTCTCTCTCTGCCTCAGAAATAAATAAACGTTAAAACAAAGATCTAAGAGGAAGTCAGCCTTGGTGGCAATGTTTGAAGTATAAATAGTTCCACGTGGAGGAGTATCAGAAAAGGAAACAGCGTGTACAAATGCATAGCAAGTGTGCAACAGCTTGGTTTGTTCAGAGTGACCAATCACTTAGTGCTGTGCAATGGGTGGGAGAAGATAAGCACAGAGATCAGGAAGGGCCCTGTGCGCCAAGAGACAAAATATACCCGGAGGCGGAGAATATAAACAACACTCGGGTTGCGTTCACTAAGTAACGGTGAAGTTATTCTTCTACCAGATTCAGGATTTGCGACCACCCGCCACTCTTCAAGGCTCCTGGGGTTAAAGCAGGGAACCCGACCAGGACCCTATTCTCACATTGCTTACATCCTAATAGGGGTGTCCGATGATCAGCTGTCAGAAGTGGTGTTGAGGAACAACGATGAACAGAGGCGTGGACAGTCCAGGGGGCAGGTGGTCAGGGGAGCCTGGTGGCTGAGGTTGCCAAGCACATGTTCGGTGCTGAGGATTGATTGAAACCTGCATCTGTCAACTTGTTCCTGTTGGCGACAGGAGGACTGGAAGGCATGGAGGTCCTATTGCTACAATTCTTCCCTTCGAAATGCCACTTCTTTGGGTTGCAGGGAGTGAAGGGAGCTGACTCTACAAATACTGATTAATTAGACTGTGAAAATTAATAAAGAGAAACCTCACTAAAATGGAGCTGGGAAGTTGGGCAAGGGCGGTCTCACGCTCTACCACTTGCCCTTACTTGCAAATCCAACAGTGGACCTGGCAGGTGTAGACAGCTTTATTAAAGCCCACAGGAGGGAGAGAGGCTTTTCTCTTCCCCCAGCAACAGCCCAGCCAATGACAGCGTGACAACTCGCCCAATGAGAAGCCACTATAGTTTGAACTCCCAGTTTACTCCAATGGCCTTTTAGTTTGTAACAGCCCCACCCAAAGGTTCCCTTTCCTTTATAAAGAGCGATCCACGCTTTTGGGGGTACTTGCTGTGGTTTTGCCTACCGCCTGTTTGCTGGGGGTTGCGACTCTCTACGATTCCTGAATAAACCCATTTTTCGCTGGTAAAACAACCGGCAGTGTTATTTTTTCAGATTAACAGGACCAAGCGGATCCCCGTGGTAGGTTAGGGCCGCCGGGGCTTGCGGTCACAGGTTTCTGGGCACTGGCTGGCATAGCTGGCCACTGGACCGGAGGTGGGGGGAGGGGGGAGCCAGCCAATCCTTCTGCCAGCCTCCCAGCGGAGGACGTCTCACGATGGCTCTTCCCCTCCTGGAAACGAGCCCCATCCCTGCCCGCTCTCGCAGCCGGAGCGCGAGCCACTGCCGCGGGGCGGAGAGGAATCCAGGTGGGATCCCAGGCGAGGAAAACATCCTACATACAGAGAGGAAAGAAACACGGCCGGCTCTCTTTAGGCCACGCCCTTCCTCCTTCTGCGCCCGCGCCTCTGCTGGCGCGCGGCCGTCTTCGCATCTGCACCTGCAGGGGGCGGCCTAACTCGCGTCGCTCTTTCTTTGCGTCACGCGGCGCTTGCGCGTTGCTTCCGGGTCAGAGGCCGGACGGCCGGGCGCTGTGTGGGCCATGGTGCAGCTGCGGCCGCGCGCGTCCCGCGTCCCGCCGTCGGCGATGGTGGACGAGGGCCAGCCAGCCTCCGAGGAGGAGGAGGAGGCGGAGCACGGCCTGTTGCTCGGGCAGCCCAGCAGCGGCGCGGCCGCGGAGCCGCTGGAGGAAGACGACGAGGAAGGGGACGACGAGGACGACGACGAGGCCCCGGAGGAGCTGACTTTCGCCAGCGCCCAGGCGGAAGCACGAGAGGAGGAGCGGCGGGTTCGGGAGTCGGTGCGCAGGTCCGGAGCCCGCAGCCGGCCGGGAGAAGCCGCCCCCCACCCCCCCAACCCCGGCCCGCGCGTGTCGCCCCGCACTGACTTGTCACTCTTTCTCTCAGGGACAAAACGCTCCTGAAGGAGAAGAGGAAGCGACGCGAGGAGCTGTTCATCGAACAAAAGGTTAGAGGCTGGGGGAGGCGTCTCCGTTTCAAAGGCACCCCGGCCGGGGCAGAATTCCCGGGTTTGGCAGGGAGAGTCGCTAATATTTCTGGGGACAGCGGCGAAAGCCAAGGCGCTCGTGCTCTTTGCTGTCCACCGATTGAAAACGGGAGTGGGAAGAGGCGGGAGTTTGAGATCATGGGGTTCTCCCCCTTGTACCGGCTCACCGTGACGAGCCTGGTCGTTTAGTCTCGCGGAGGTCGTTTCTTTACCCGAAATTGGGTTGCTGAGGTACTTTGCAAAGTGAAGGCTGTACCTGGAGTATCTTTGCTTTGCTGTCTGACGTTTGGCAGATTGGCCACAGACAGCCCGCTCAGAGGGACGTGACTTGACTGCGCTCATCGCAGAACAGTGACCTCTGGGGTGGAATACAGGGGCCAGCCTTCCCAGGCTTGGCTCAGTCTTCCCAAGAATGCGTTACAGGTTCTGAGCTTCCTGGGCCCACTCCTTCCACAGCGTAGAGATCGCAGGGGCAGGGAGGGTTCAGCCTAATTCATTTCTTGCTCTAGGTGTAAAGCTGTGTCCTTAGAGCCAGAAACTTGAGAAGCAGCCCAGGGTGTGTCATGTATCTCACCTCTGATTAATTTTTAAATGTTTTAATCTAAGAAAAGGAAACTCCTTCCGGATAACATTCTAGAGAAGTTAACTACAGCCGGACAGACTAAGTAAGTAATAGATCTTGTTATATACGCCTTGCTTAGACACCTGTCTTTGGATGCTATACGGGTATACACGTTTTGTTTGAATCCACATAATAATAAAGAGAATAAGACAGAAAGCTACACAGTAGGTGGTTGGATTTGGTGGGAAAGGTGGAGGGAATTAACTCCACTTTTCAGTCTTCTGCCACTTTTTAAAAAAAAAATTTGATGTTTATTTTTGAGAGAGCAAGCGGGGGAGGGGCAGAGAGAGAGAGGGAGACGCAGAATCCGAAGCAGGCTCCGAGCGGTCAGCACAGAGCCCGACACGGGGCTCGAACCCACGGGCCGCGAGATCGTGACCTGAGCCGAAGTCGGATGAACCACCCAGGTGCCCCACCACTTTGTGTTCATTCCCACAGCAAACTCTAGCCTCCGAGTTACTGATTCCAGTGTGTTCAGTCAGGGGACGGTTGTGCTCCTGTCATTGTACTAAGGGCAGGGGAGACGGTGGTGAGTAAAATGATGTCTTGAACTGTATCGGCTAGTGGAGTAGCAGGCACATCCGCAGGCTCTGAGGCTCCTCTTGTCCCTCGACAGCTTGCCTTGGCTGCTCCCCGGCTTCTGTTTCATTCCTCTCATTTAGCAGCTGTGCCCTGTGCCGAATGTGTAAAGGCCAGTGCAGTAGTTCTCGTCGTCCTCTAGCCCTCGAAATCAAACCTTAATAAATTTAGACTGCCAGATATTTGGCAATTTTTTCATATTCTCCTGGCCTCTCCTGACTGCTTTATTAAGTTCAGAAGTTTAGTCCTGTAGTTTTTTCTTTTTTTAATATTTAAGAGAGCGTGCAGACAGGGGAGGGGAGGGGGAGGGAAAGGGAGAGAGAGAATCCCAGGAGCCCGAGCTGGGACTCAATCCCACGACCCTGGGATCATGACCTGAGCCGCTCGCTTAGTGGACAGCCACCCAGACACCCCTAGTCCTGTATTTCTTGCCTAGGCCAGCGGTTCTCAAAATTTTCAGTAAAAGGCTTTTCCAAAGAGCTATTCAAGTTCTGTAAACACTACCAGGAAACATACTAACAATTGTTACCTGGGGCACATTCCCCTTTCCTCCTTAAAAACCAAGCTCAGATCCTTAGTGTAGCTTTTCTCCTGTGCTGGTGTTTCCACATGGGAGTCTCCTGTTGTGTTTTGTCAGTTCACATTGGTCTCTCGTTAGACCACTGCTCTTCCAGGCTAGTCCTGGTCTCCATCCTTGTCTTTGTGTCTGAACTGCTGAATTAACCCTTTGTGATTCCTCCGAGTAAAACGAGGCGGTCTTACCACTTTTTCACTTTGTATTTTGAATACTGTGTTACAGAACTCGTTTTTCCTGAAGTCTTTCACTTCACTGTTAACCACAGCAATCTGCTTCTGCTGAAGTTTGCTCATAGGCTTTGAGATCTTCACTTCTGAGAAGATACTCCCTCCCTAGCGTATTACTAGTTTGGGAATTGGTAGCAGTGCCCTGGGGAGGGCTTTTGCTTCCAAAACTGATTAATGATCCTGAGTAAAAACCCCTGAGTAAAAACCGAGGGCGGTGGTAATGCAAAGGGGAGATCTTTGTAAAAGCAGATGAAATTGTGTTAACCAGTGGGGTCATCTTTGCTATCTGCCTTACCAATCAGTGTTTTTATTGTTCTTCCTTAGCATCAAGAAATCATCAGGAAAGTTGAAAGAAGGTATGAACTATTCTCATTTAAATAACTTCTCTTGTAAGTGTCGGGTACATTTGCAGATATTTGCAGCCAAATGTTTGGCCCGGAGAGAGTGTGGGAATAGGCCCGGCCAAGCGTAGCTTGGCCCGTTGTCTCTATTTCTTACAAATAAAGATTGCACCCAGATTGGTACTAGTGGATGTTTAAAGTACAGTCCAGTAAATGTTCCTGCTTTGTTTTACATACATAAACTCAATTTTTTAGCGAATTTGCAGAAGGAAAATGAAGACTGTGACAAAGGAAGTGATTCCAAGAAAGCTAAAGTACAAAAAGTACAGTCTGTCGGGTAAGGAGGGTCTTTCTTCTTTTCAGAGAATGGGAAGCTGACCTGAGAGAGAGTATTGGCCTGGGGGGGGGGGGGGGGGGGGGGGGAAATAGTTTCATTATAGTAGTTTCAGATTACCTTCTCTATGGGAAAACCAGTTCTGATATTTGCATAAAAATAAGACCTCTGCCTCCTAAAATGGAAACGTTAGTCTATTTGTGTGTAGTAAAATAGCCCAGGGATGTCATTTTATTCACGATCTGCACTTACAGAAAATTAGGATTTGGGGTTTTTTTTAATTTTTTCTTTTTTTTTAATGTTTATTTTTGAGAGAGACAGAGACAGAATGTGAGTGGGTTAGGGGAAGAGAGAGAGGGAGACACAGAATCCGAAGCGGGCTCCGGGTTCCGAGCTGTCAGCACAAGCCCGACGCGGGGCTCGAACTCACGAGCGGTGAGATCATGACCCGAGCCAAAGCCAGACACTTAACCGACTGAGCCACCCAGGCGCCCCTTTTCACTTTAAGCAGCTAACAAAACACTTTTTATTTTCAAACTCAGCATGTTCTCAGATTTGCTCATTTTGACCTTTTGTGTTTGTCACCAGCCAGGATAAAAGCTACTTGGCTCTAAGGCTAAAAGGTCAAGATCTGCGAGATTCAAGACAGCAGGCAGCAGAAGCCTTTGTACAGAATTCTTTATATGGTCCAGGAACCAACAGAACTACTGGTAATTTCTTTACAGACCGTCTGTCTCACTTTTTACTGCAAATTAAACAAAGAAGTGATAGATAATTCTCTTTTCTAGTAAATAAGTTCCTGTCTCTTGAACATAAGAGGTTACCAGTGAAAAAGGCTGCAGCCCAGTTTCTGAATAATGCTTGGGGTAAGATCCAGCTCCGCTCCCTCAGCTTTTTATATATTGCACACTTTCTTTTAAGGAGGTAGTAAATACTTAATCGTGAGATATCCATTTTTTCCTTACAGTGGCTTCTGTATTAGTTGCTTCTAAAACATAGCTCAGCGTGGTATATCTACTGTACAATTTGATTAGTGTTTACATTCATAGAATCTTGAAAACTTTGGAATTGTTTCTTGCGAATTTCGTATCCAATATTCTTACTGTATAAAATTTTCTATTCTAGGAACTCAGAAAAAACAAAATGCCAAGAGGTTTAAAAGACGGTGGATGGTCAGAAAGATGAAAACTTCTAAGAAGTAAATCAAATGAAGTAAATGAAGGATGAGAACTTGTATGTATAGGACTCAGTTATTTGGGTTAGAAAATGCTCTTAAAAAGATCTAATAAATGATTTATAAAGAGTTTTGAAGGGTTACTGCAAAACTCGTAGGTCTGTTGGGGGAAGTACCCCATCACCTCTCATCCTTCAGGACAGTCCTGCCTCGTAGTTTCTGAGAACGACGTTGGAAGACAAACCGGTTCAAAAGAATGGTTTCCCTTTTTTATGAGCGTTTGCGCATTTAATTGAAAGCTCGTCTTCCACCTGCGGTGTTGGGTGCACAGCAGGGCGAGAGAAGTGGGCCCTGGGGTGTTTTCAGCTGCAGCTCTCAGCTGCCTTGGTCTCGCAGAGGTTTTGGTGCTCTGAGGGGCATTTGTTTCCCAGGCTATGGAACAGGAAGGAAGTAGCTGAAAGCTCAGTATCTCAGTGCAGTAAGTATTTCTTCTCGAGGAAGATGGAAGCCTCCGTGCAGAGTTCATTAGCCGGAGGATTTGGTGATCTTGGTTAAGTGTTACTTCTAACCAGGTTGGGCGGGTGTGCTTTGGTGGCAGGCCACGTGCCATCGTTCCTACTGTAGTTACAGAAACAGGAGATGAATTGCCTGTTTTCTTGCGGCAGCACCCACAGCATCAGGCCTGACCCTACTCTAGGGAGGCCAGTAAGCCGAAGGCAGTCTTGCGTCGCAGAACTCGGATTTAGAGGATTGCTCTAATTCTGTATTAGAAGTGTGCAGGCACCTAATATATAAATTCAATTGACACTCTAGTATCTGTAATAGTAAATTTTTAATGGCTGGTTAATTATATCACTACATTTTTATTGCAATATAGTACTCATTTAAGCACTTAAAAATGGAAGGTGTACAAAGATTAAATTAAGACACGGTAAATTGACTAAATATTTGGTTTTTATATAAATAAAGGTCATAACCACACTGTTGACATGTAATACTGTTATAATACAACAGTTAAACTTGTGAGTCTACAACAGAAGTCGTCTGTAGTTAAACAGGAAACAAAGTTGAAAAAGACCATGTTAAAACAAAACTACTGGGACTAACAGGTCGGGATTGTAAGTAGCAACAAACATATTCACTCAGCTCCTGAGTATTTCAAGTTTTACAGTACACATTAAAAATGATTTCTTCCATCAACACTATAAATTCAAACTGTCGGATGTTTATGCGTTTTGCAAGTTACACTGATTGAATGCTTATATGGGAGCGGGGGTCGGAGCATCTCCCAAATTGAAGTTTACATCACCCACATGCTAACACAAACACAACTGGTTCCGTTTCCTTCCCCCCTCTCCCCCAAACAAAGGCGGCAGGATTTTTTGGTTTCTTTTAGGTAATTGTTTTAAAGGATTTGTGATGATCAATTTGAACGTCTGAAATTCAGTAATATTGAACTCTTAGACAACTAAGAGGTTAAAGATGGAAAATAATTTCTCCTAACACCAAGTTAGAAAATCATTTGCATCATGCTGTAAACTAGGAAGCAATGTAAAGCGACAAAAACCTGTCCCCAGTACATAATTAAAAAATCTAAATTTCAAATCAGCAGAGCTGGTCTACTTCCAGGTTGACTATATGCCACAATGTACACGTGAGCTCCTTAAATGCATAGCTAGTGTAGGTAGTCTTCCACTGTGGCAAACGCACAGGATCCGATTCCTGACCGAGCCATCAGTCCTAGACATTGTGTGGCCTGGCCCATTGCTAGGGCGAGTGGAGGTTGCTTTGGCAGATTGTGGGTTTCTGAGGAAAAATGATTAAAAATGGAAACAGCAATTAGCAAGACATTTCCCAAGAACTTCTCAACGGGGAAAATACTGCATTACTTGAAAACGTACCCCTGCCTATACTGTTCTTAATTCCCTCACTAGCAATGGTCATTTCTAAGCCAGTCATTAATGTCTTGGCCCTGCTACTCGGACTAGGTGCTATGGCTACTGAGTATTCGACTCTGAAGGAAAATTCTTGCAGAATTCGACACTTAAAAACTTCCACATTAACTATGATGGGAAAGAGGTCCGGTCTTACCTGATACTTACAGTGGGGAGTAAGGACTATTTAGTATTTCTCTTTGACTTAAGTCACTTGACCTAACAGGAAAAGGCCTCAGGCTTAAAGTAAAAGTTTCACCGATAAACTCCTCCCCTTCTGGGGATAGAACCCACCAGAGGCTAATTGTCTCCAAGGCATATTGGTGAATGTTGCCTGGGCTTCTAGGGAGCAAATGGTGACGGTGGCCGTGAGGCAAGACAAAAGCAAAACCACCCTACAACGTTGGAGGGAGTTGACTTACAGTTGGTAGATATTTTTTAAATTGCCGATAAATTTGTTCTCCGTGTCCTACATACCAGAAGTCTGCAAGTTCTGTGCCAGAAATGAAAAAATGAACTACTGGTGAAACTGGCCAAGTTCCTAATGATCTCTCCCTGGGTGGAGATGTCCAAGTTTTAAGTTGATTAGATTCCCAATTAATAAAATCACTCCTCAGTCCTTTGTAGGCATAGCGGACAACAAAGGGCAAAGACCATGATACTGGCAGGTAAGGCCACACTCCATACTATCCTATTTTTATTATTTTAGAGGGAGAGCGCATGCACGTGAGTGGGGGAGGGGACAGAGGCAGAGAGAGAGGATCTGAAGCAGGTGCCACGCTCAGCCCAGAGCCCGACACAGGGCACGACCCCACGACCCTGGGATCATGACCTGAGCTGAAATCAAGGAGTTGGACGCTCAAACGACTGAGCCACCAGGTGCCCCAATTTAATTCTACTTTTGATTCCAAGGTTGCAGTGGGGTGGGAGAACGTTCCGTAAAGAATGGCACCAAAAAATAAAGGAAGCAAATTCAGGATTTAAAGGTACAAAAGAACACAAAATAGGATCAAGAATTTAAGAATGGAAATCTGTAAGAAAAGGTACACAGATCAGTGAGAAAGTATGGTTTGAAAAATGGTCTGCGGGTTAGGATTAATAAAGTCCTGGCTATTCTTTGGCGAGACACTGTTTAGCTAAACTTTGATGGTGCTACAGTTTTTGCCAGCTCTAAGCAGGACGGACTTTACAGTTCTGTCTTGAGTCCAGAACAATTTCAGTTTTACACAAAATCAACATGAAAAGGAATAAAAAATGGAAAAGGAAGCTTTTTTTTCCCAAAATGTCTGATGGTTCACAGGGAAGTAACCTTGCTGGAAGATAAGCATCAGGAGGCATGTGGTTATAAGCACCTTTAAATTCTTTTTGGATCTGGAACTGACAAGAACTAACATACAATTAATATGTAACAACTTTAAGCACTAATTACAGATGGTACTACATAAAATAGCATGGTATTTATAAATATTCACATATTCATCTACAGCAATTTATATTAATAAGCCTGTCATTAATTTTGCAGGAATCCTATGAATATAAACTTAAGCACTAGGTGCAGCTGAACCTGTCTACCAGGTAGCACAGTGAGAGTACACAGATCTTTAATGGCCCTACAAAATTTCATATTTAATCACTGAATTACCTTAAAGAACTCGACACAAACTATTCTAAGAAAACTGGTTACTTCAAATATTCTTCACAAATCTGATCCTTAAATATGAAGGCTGTGATTTCAAAAAGACCATTGCAGTAAACCGTAATTTGCCCTACAATCTCAGCATTACTACTGAGTTCCGTTTTTACCAATAGAGCTAAGTGGATTTCATATAACCAAAGAGAATACAACACGTTAACCAGAGAAAATTCACGTGATTTATTATATACAGATTCTAAATTTATAGAAACCCCACCAAAGACGCTTTTTTTTTCCTTACCGTTATTGCAAACCCCCCCACTGTTCTACTTTAACACAAAGAATTCACAGTTCACCCCTGAGAAACACCAGTTTGAACTACACAGACCCGCTTCCAGCTGCGGTTTTTGATACGGTACAGGGATGTAGCCGGCTCTTCCCTTCCGGTTTTCTTCACCTCCAGCTTTATTGTAAGAATCCAGAACACAACACGCGTCACATACCAGATCTGTGTCTATCAAGGGCTCCCGTTCTTGGCAGGGCTTCCCGCCAGCAGCGGTTAAGTTTTAGGGGAGTCAAAAGTTACACGCGGATTTTTGTGCTGGGGGGTTGGTGTCCCAACCCCCACTCGGTTCCAGCGTCAACTGTAATGAACTTTGTAAGAGCAGATAAGGCTCATGTAGGAACACCTGCTCCCTTCACATTCTAGCCATACGGTCCCTGGCCCGCTGCAGGTCTCCCTGCTCTTCGTGGCAATGCTCTCGCGCACCTGAAATGGTCTGAAACGTGTTGCTATAAAGCTCCCAAACGTAACAGGGCCGAGCAGGAGTGGGAGCCTCATTTTACCTGGGGATTTAGCCTGTAAAGTCTGGTCAAAAGCCACTCTTCTTTAAGTTACCTTTGAAAAGAATCTCCGAGAGAAGATCATAGTTTCACGTAAACCGCCCTGTACGGTTTATACATAAATGCACAGAATGTTACAGCATTCACAGAAAAAGTATTTGTTCGGGACAGGAGTCCTGTAAGCATACTCTGTAGTGAGTTGCTTACAGGGACAGCAACCGACCAGGGGACGGGCAAACCGGTCTCCCTCCGTGCTCGCCTCTAGCGAAGTCTCACTACCGAAACTGCTGCTCTCTTCCCCCGCCCCTCGCTTTTTATCCGGTAAGGGCATAATACGGCTGAATATGCTGAACTTTCCTGCAAATACGGTGCTACTCCAAGGGCTGGTGCTGGCAGGGCAGTCACACGTCACCCGGAAGTCCCTCGTGTCCGTATCTTAAGCACAGCGGAAGCTGCGGTATGTGTGGCTCAGCCCAAAAACGCTTACACAACATGCACACAAAGACTTCCATTTTCCAGACTTCCCGGGGTATGATCCCAATATACCGTTGTGGTTTTTTTTTTATTATTCTATTTGAATCCATTTAATTTTGGAATTGAGATGGTGGAGGGGAAGGCTTCTGTATTTTGAAGTAAGTTTACCTTTTTTAAAATGTAGAAATGGTTTCTACGTGAAGAGTTTACCAAAATACGAATCCCGTCTCAAATATGCAGACACTCTGGCTGCAGTGACGCTTCACTCACCTAGTATTGCACTGTTAAGGGCTGAGCACACAGGTTCTCTCTGAATTGGGTCAAGCTGATTTCCAACCGGGCTGTTCCAAGGATCCGAGTAAGCGAGTAAACTGAATGCATCCTGTTGAAAACACAGCAGTTTGGTTTTTAATTCAAACGCTTCAGCTACCGTCCTCCCCACGGCTACAAAGTTGAGAGACGAGTAAAATACACAGCTTTCCGGCACAAGGCTACGGTAACACTCAAACCCATTTACCCCAATGATGATATATATTTTTAACAAGATTATACAACAAAGCCTAATGGGTCTTCCTTCTTTACTGTAAACAGCCAATCTGAATCTGAATCTTCCCCCATCCCTACAACACATACACAACGGCAAAATTAAATTCTGGTGGAACGGGCTAATTAAAGAGGAAGACAAAAACATTCAGATGCTCTATAATTTATCGCCACTGGTATGAATCTGACATTAAAAGGACAGAGCCTATTTATTTTCTTAAACAGATGTGGGGCCGAGATCCATCTCCCTGGATGTCATTTTCTCAACCTCAGGACCAACAAGGTAAACTGGCTGCCCTTCAGGAACATTCAGTGGTTCCAACCATCCTCGAGCCACCCTTCCTAAAGGGACGGACACGCGGTCTTCTCAGTCAGTGACTCTCAGTCAGTAAGCACTAACCGCTCCGGGACACTGGCAGCGTCCGTTCGTTCTAACCTCTCGGTACAGGAGGTCGTCCTCTTTTGCCCAAAGTCCATGCCCTAATCCGGGGCGGTGTTCCCGAGAGAGGCGAATGACAGGACGCCTTCCCGATTCAGAAGGCCTACGTAGGACAGTGCTTAGGAAAGCGTCAATGAATTCGGTCAGTGCCACTTTCAAAATGAGGATTACGGACACGTGGGAGACTGGACTTTCTGAAGGAAAGGATCCCAGGTCCAGCTGCCCGGACGTTCCTCCGCTCAACTCACCGCTGCTCAGAGCGGCCTCGGAGGCCGGGCTTGCCGGTCAGCTGTGCTCTGGCCCTTTCTCACCCCACGCGGCCTGCACACCGGGGAGCCTGGAGGAGGGCTGTCCACACAGCCGGAGCCGCGTGGCCTGAGGCTACCGGGCGGGGAATACACGCGCCTCTCAAAGAAAACGCGTGCGGCTGGTCCACGGTCTTCCTTCCGCTGCTGAATATTTCATGGGTGGTAGACGGCTCGCCCCAGTTTTTATAATGAAAGGTCTCTGAAAGGAAAATTTCTTTCTTCCACTATTTTGAGTCCCCTGCAGCTACTCACAGACGCTGGGAACAGGGAAGCAGCTTCACACACCCGCCCATCACAGGACCTGCTTCTTCCAGTGCATCGCACCGAGCCACCCCGTTCTATTTCCTGGCTCCCCCTCCCCCGCCATCCGAATTTACTGATGGAAAGAGCATTAACGTCCTGTATCCTGGGAAGCTAACTCTAGTCACTGATCTTCGCTCAAGACTTAATTTACCCCACAGCCACCTAGTGAGGTACCATCCCCATGCTACAGAAAGCTACCCGAAGTATACCGAAGAAGTGTTCAAGGAACAACTGGTACCTAAAAACCTCTAAGCACAAAACCGTCCTCTTGGGTCTATACATCCGGACACCCAACCAAAAACGAGAAAGGTTGCGGTCCCAGATCTCAAGGCAGACCGTTCTTCTGTTAACACCTTCTTCTAGTATTTCACCAAAACCTCATGGAAAAAAAGGTAATGATGGTAATAATTTATCGTGCACTAATACTGGGTGAAGCAATGTTTCGAGCCCTAACGTGGAGAATCTCATTTTATCCTCACAATAACCTTAGGAGACGGATACTGTTATGCCCATCTTACGGAGAAGCAAACTGAGGCAGTGAGAGCTTAAGGGCACACAGTTAGTACAGAACCTCTTTTAATAAGATGCAGCTTCTTTTAACTGCCAATCTAAATATCAAGATGAAGAAAGTCTAAAATTTAGCTCTAATATTTTCAAAACAATTATTATTGCACACAGCTGCCAGACCCTGAGGACACAGAGAGCAATCACCAGGACCTAGTCATTGTGCCAAGAACCCACGTGGTCTTACGGCGAAGTCAGACATGTAAATAAACAATGGACAGGGCACTGCTTATGAACATGCAGTATTTTGTGTCACATGTCACAGTCCCAGAGAGACCCAAACTACGTGCAAACGGGCTGAGAGAAAGAAAGGCACGGACGGAGCCAGAAGTAAGGGGGGTTAGATCCTAAAATGTCCCCAAAGGCTTACATTTTTTTTTTCCAATACAACAATGGAGTTTTAAATGGAGGACTGATGTGGGTAAGACTTGACTTCAGCAGGATCCCATCGCAGCACAATGGTACAGGCTTGGAAGTCAGGTGAAGCTATAAGCAAGAAAACTAAGAAAACCTTAAAAGAAGAAGAACAAGAAAAAAAAAAAGGCTTATGCCACCAGGTTCCCTGAATATCTACAATTTTCCTTTCCAAAGGGAGTGAAATTAGGGCAGCAACATTAATGTTTTAAATCCTGCAGTAAAACCTAACTGATGGTGGTGACCAAAGAAATGCAAACAAGCGATTTTAAGGTCTGAGCTTGAAGTCACTAAAACAGACTAACACAGGAGTACTTCTGGCACTTTCCTTTACTACTGCTGTAAGCTGGGGGAAGGTTTCTGGAAAACAGTATAGCAATATATAGGAAAAGCCACAGTAATCCCAAGCTTTGACTCAATCATTCTCTTTCCAGGACTCTATCCCGTGTTGTAATTTTAAGGAACAAAGACGCATGTATAAAGGCATTCACTAAAGCATCTGAATAAAAGCAAAAAATTGAATAAAGCAACGCTTAAATGAACTGACACAGCAACTCAAGAGAGTAGCATGTAGCCATTTAAAAAGAACGGATGCACAGAAACTGGGAGTACATTTTTAGGACAATGACAACACCACAAAATGGTATACTTACTATGTAAAATATACACACGGGGTATTTAAGGCACAAAACTCAAACTCTGAGGCGTGGGATCGTGGGTTACTTTTCACTTAAAAACAAACAGATCTCAGCGGGAATAACTTCTGAGGCAAACGTGACGTCATTTAGGTAGGATTCTCAAACTGTACTTGTAGTTGGCTTAAAGTCTGCAGCAGTTTCTAAACAGGGCTGGTCTTAAGTCGTTCTGTTTTGGCTTCAATTGCCAGCCGGGGCTGCTGCTTCGTGTGCGACTCCACGGTCCCTCCGGTCCCTCCGGCCAGAGCCTCAGGACGCAGCTCCTGAACAAACTCAGGTAGCTGTCTGACAAGCCACTGGCAGGCGTAGGGAGGTGAGGAACAGAGAACAGGAGAAGAGGAAAGGAAGACAGAGAACCGGGAAAGGTCAAGGGAAACGGGCGCTGCAGGACGCCCTGCCCCTCCCACCCATTTTTACCGCACACGGGCCACCCCAGGCTCTGCACGAGGCCTGCTCCCCAGGACCCTGGGAAGCAGAAGACAGTAAAGCATTTAGGGAACTCTTAGCTTCACATTTAAAGGAATCTTTCTCTCTACAGATGCCTGTGTGATTCAGATGCTTACGCGGATCCACACAAAATTAAAGATAAAAATTACCCACTACAATCACACGTGCCCTGAAATGAAAAATGAAAGGGGATGATTTCTAAATCTTCTCAACGATGACAAAAAAAAAAACCACCTCTTCATGTTGTCCTCAAATCCTCCAGCTGTTCTTCGGGGACTTGTAACTTGGATCAGTCAGTCATCTTGTCCCCACGTGGATCAAGATAAGTTTGGGGAATGGGAAGGAAGGAGTTCAGAATATTAAGAAAGTCTCTTAAAGTAGTAGTTGGCATGTGCTTAGAAGTCAGAAGTGCAAAATCAAAGCCATCCACACTCTTTAGATGAGGAAGATGAATTACATCTTCACATAATTCAATATATAATCAAGGACTATCTTTGAGAAGAGGCCACATCAATGCCATTTTCTCAGCTTATGCACATCAGCATCAAAGACAGTAAGCTGATTAAGTGAAATCTTACATTCTGAAAGGCACTACATAAATCACATTCCTTCATCATGCACAATTAGCATACAGTTTTAACAAGAAAACAGTCAAGATGACCTAGCGTCAAAAAGCACATGAATTCTTAGAAACATTCCGTATCCCCAAATATCCCCTAAAACAGCAGTTCTCAAAGTACAGTCCAGAAACACGGGGTTCAATCTAAGATCCTTGCAGGAGGTCCCGGAACGTCAACACTGTTTTCGTAATAAAACTGAGAAAACTCTCTCTCGCCTCACCCTCACTCTCATTCTCTCCCGGCCACACAGCGGGGTTTCCAGGGGCCACGGGGCCGGTGACAGTGACAGCACAGCACATCGAGTGCACAGGTAGGGACGAGAATCCAACTTCCCCTCCATTAAGCCTGGCAAATGTAAAGCGATGCCATTCTTCCAAAGTTTCTGGAAGTTATTTTTCGTAAAAATATTCAATGGATCCAGGATTATTGGTCAGGAGATTAATCATTTGTTTTAATTTCTAGTATGGTAAGTATCAATAAACAGAACCCATATAAACAAAACTCTTGATAAACATTCATGAATAGCGAGGTGCCATGCGCACTGGATATATTTGAAGGGGGCGGAGTTAAGTAAAGACCTAGTCTGACCTCAAGGAATTCTTCACCTTATAGGGCAAACGTGGGCAGCCATATTCCTAATAGGTCAGTGTCTGGCTTTATTTTTTTTTTTTTTTAAACTTCAGTATAATTAACACACGGCATTAGAATAGTTTCAGGTGCACAATATGGTGATTCAACAATTCTACACATTACCCAGCGCTCCTCACAAGTGCGCTCCTTGATCCCATCACCTGTTTCACCCATTCCCCAGCCACCTCCCCTCTGGCAACCAGCAGTGTGTTCTCTAGAGTTAAGAGTCTTTTTCTGGTCAGTTTTCTTTATTTCTTAAATTCCACATATGTGTGAAATTGTGTGGTATTTGTCTTTCTCCAACTTATTTCACTTAGCAGAATACGAAGTCCATCCACGTTGTCACAAATGACAAGATTTCGTTCTTTTTTATGGCTGAGGAACATTCGTGTGTGTGTGTGTGTGTGTGTGTGTGTGTGTGTGTGTGTGTGTGTGTGTGTCTCCCACTTCTTTATCCATTCACCGGTCGGTGGACACGGGCTGCTTCCCTAATTTGGCTGTTGTAGACAATGCTGCTGCTATAAACACAGGGGTGCATGGATCTTTTAGAATTACTGTTTTCATATTCTTTGGGTAAATACCCAGGAGTGGAATTACTGAATCACATGGTAATTCTATTTTTAATTTTTTGGGAGATCTCCAAACCGTTTTCACAGTGGCTGCACCAGTTTGTGGTCCCACGAAGCGATTTGACATTTTAAATGAAAAACTGTTTAAATTACATATTCCACCAATTTTATTTAGCATAAAAATCATAATTAACTTCCTTTTTTTTTTTTTTGGATAGCTCAGGGTCGCCACCAGAAACCGCAGTTATGCGATCCAGCGGGTGAAGTACCGCGTAGAGCAAATACACCGCTGCTCCCGTCGCAGCCCCCGACGCTACAAGACCGCACGCCATAACTGGCGATGTACGTGGGTGGTTCCTTCACCCACCATCCTAGGCTGAGCAGGTGGTGTTCCGTCTACACAGGCACCGTACGGAGGCTCCGGTGCAGGTAGCTGTTTGAGTTTTGGCTGCTTTTAGGCCGCGTTTGGTGCTGCTAGGTGGTGCTGACTGTGGCGCTGAGGCTCAGTTTGGGTCAGGAAGGGCTGGCAGAAGCCTTGCTCCTGCCACTGCACCCCAGCATCGGTCTCAGGGCCACAGCACACGCGTCTCTCCTTTTAAACACGCAGGAGAAAATGTTGCTAATGAATCACCTCTGAGCCCAAGCTGATGCAGGATTACAAAAAAAATGCAACAGCTAGGTTAACATGTCATAGACTTACAGGGCTGTTGGGACTTACGCGAGTACAAAAAAAAACCCTCTTGGAGTCTTAACATCTCTACAACTAACAGCAACGGCGACTTAAGGGAGGGAAGAACTCCATCCGCAACTGACACGCAAACTTGTGACCACCGTACTAAACCGCTGAAGTCCTAGCCATCTTACCATCTGTCATGCGCATCAATCCAGAAGAGATCTGAAAATGTATTTTATCTATCTGGGGTTGTGAAAGTGCCTCAGCAATCACTGTCAAAATGAAAGCCACGTAGTACACGTTCAATCTGCTGCAGCCCTGAGCAATGTTTATGGAAATAAAAATATCGCAGACTTATAGTTTTATCAGCAAACCCGCATGTCTCCTAATAAGTCTGCCAATTTTACAGCTAAGAAAATTACAGTAAGTCGACAAAGGGCATAAAACGCTGACAGGCGGCAGAACTGGGATTGAATCCCTACCTTTACTGATTTATTTTTTTAACTAGCCTTCATGCCCAGCACAGAGTCCAACGCGGGGCTTGAACTCACGACCCTGAGATCAAGAGCTGAGCTGAGATAAAGAGTCGGATGCTTAGCTGAGCCACCCAGGTGCCCTGGATCCATTCTTTTTACCTGAAGCCCAACAAGAATTCCTAGCGCTCAGTGCTTTACAAAATTAAATTTTAGTTCCTCTGACACATCAATAATTTTTCAAGGACAAACAAATCTACCTTCAACATTTTTTTATTTGCTGTGTTCTTGCCACATTCTCTCCTCAGCTGTTCACTCATGGCTTGTAGCTCTCTTCCAAAGTGAATCATTCTTTCTATGGCGGCTTGACTTCCTCCACACAACTGGCGTCTTAACTGACTCGAATCAACTTCTGTAAGCAAAACAAACGAGTATTTTACTTTCTTATTAAATGGAGTGCCAGGGAGAAATGAACATCAGTTGCTTACAACATTTTGTACGTTTCATTTAGTAATTACTACCTAATAGTTTATTTAAATATGCGGTTTTCTTTTTCACTTAATAGGAAACATTGCAGCTAAAAGGTATACTTTATCTAGGTCTCAAGAATCTAGGCTCTACTCTCCAGCACGCAGGTCAAAGTCCGCTGAAATCGCCTCCATTTAGGATGCCCCTGGTATATCAGGGAAAAGTGTAGAAGAAGTTAAGGACAGTTCTCTAAAACTACATTAAGCAGCATTAAGGAGAAAACAGCACTGCCACTCCAGCTACTCTGACACAGAGCAGAGACGGAAAAAAAGGACTCCTCCAGGTGAAAAGCTAAATGACTCCAATAAAAACACAGAAGACACCAGGGAATGGCAGGATTAATTACACACGTTGAGAAAATAATTGTTTAGTATATATCTTGGTTGACAATAACCGCTGATCAATAACGTAACTGTATGAATCCCTAATAACATATAAATTCCTAACGATGACGATCCTTCACATTTACTAAGCACTTCCTTTATGCCTACTAGCTTTTCACAAATTAGCCCATTTAAGCTTCACAGTGGCCTATGAGGCGGTTGCTATTATTACCACACCCATTTTACAGATGAAGAAACTGAGGCACTGTGCTCTTAAGTAACTTGAGCAAGGTCACACAGCTTGTAAATGGCAGTTGCAGAATTCAAATCCAGGTCATCTGGCTCCAGAACTCTCAATCACCAAGCTCCGATTATACTCTGAATGTTGAGGGTGCTGGTATCTGATAGAAGAAAACTAGGCTGCCTTCTCAACTATACCCCTTGCTGGAAAAATGGATTTTACACTGAACACATAATCCTCAACAACAGTCCTCAATAAGGACCCTTTAACTCCCAAATACTCAGAAATCTAATGTTGCCATCGAATTCAGGCAAAAAAGAATTTTTAAGCTCCAATCATTTTCATTCTCCAATCGATGGGAAAGTTTGCTGATGGTTTAACATTAGGGTACAATTTACTATGCAAGTTACCAACAAAACAAAACTATGCGTGCTAATGTACCTTTCAGCCACATAATTTTGGGGGGGCCTGGGGGAGGGAGAGGGAAGGGGGGGGTCATACTGAAGCACCTACTATGTGCCAGGCACTGAACTATGCATAGTCACAGATATTCACATTAAATGAACTTAAGAAATTGATTCGAATTTATAAAATCAGCTGTACCCATCTGGCCTTCACTGGCTATACTGAAGCCAGCGTAAAAACGTTCATTTCCCCAACCCCAAGTGTCCTAAAAGACAGTTAACGCTAGTAAGAGTACGGCTGCATCAACGCCAGCACCAAGTTGAGCCGAAGACAGTCCGGCACAGAAAACCGGCTGGAACTTAACTTCAGAAGGCACTGGAAAGCACCGCACCCTGCAGCAGCCCGCGCTCACGAGGCAGTTTACGGGATATGTGCTCTTGTCAAATCCCATGGCACATACATCGCTAAACGTGATTTATGCTCATCAGCTGTGAATCGATAGAAGTAAAAGCATAACCTTGTAGTCACCATTTTTTATTAAAAACGTAAGAAATATCACTGCAGACCCATTTCGGTGTCACAGTCTTCCATTTCGTGGTCATGTTTAGAGCTACCATTTAGGAAGCCGTTGGATGAAGTCTCTCCAACCCCATTGGAGTAGTGCTCTGTCTCCATATCCACATCATTACTGGAAATAAAGAAGAAACACCTAACTTTAGAAATCACATCCTCGCAGCGTAGTTTAAAATAAACTCCTACTCCTAGCCTCCTCATAGACTGACTTCATAGGGCAACACAGTCTGCAAAAACAAGGTATTTGGTTCTATCCTGAATGTCTTCAAAGCCAGTAGGTAGCCGACTCGCAACAAAGTCGTACTCCTGGAAGGAGGAAAACAGCGTACGTCCTAAAAGGCAGCGGTTTCCTGACTCTATATCCGTATGGACAAACTCCTTTTCACATACGTCTCACCGTGTTTCCAGGTCAGATCTGCACTTGGTTCTGTGTTCATCAGCTCTTGCCCCCGGGTGCCCCAGCCTCACACCACACGCATTTCGAGCAGTCAGGGCACAGAAGGGGAAAACTACCCCGTCGAAACAAACCATTCCCGGATCCCACTTCACCTTTCTCGTGCCCTCATCTTCATCCCTTCTGGAACGAGGTTTTCTTTAAATGGCCTGGACGGGGTGGCATCCGTCCTCACCACTCAGAAACACCGCCTCCCACCAAGGTGAACGGTGATCTGGAAGACCACTCTGGCTCGCCCTCTCACACCCCGGCCAGCCCCCACCGTGATTTTTCTCTCGCAGGCTTTCTCGCTGGCTACAGAATCTAAAAAGCACTGCTATATCCTCATTTTAAAAATGTGATTTTGGGTATTTAGGTTGCTCCTCATTTTCCCGCAGGTCACATTTACTGAAGAACAGCCCCGTGCCAGTAACTGCGTCTGGACACACACTGAACTTGTGGGCGCGCGCACTCGCTCTACAAACGACAAACGCCTCCTCTTGAAGACTTCTCCAGTGAAGATCCAGGCAGGGATTATACGGCCCAGAAGGAACGCGTGATGACAGTGTAGGAAATATTTAAATGAAAATACACTTTTCTCATTAAAAAAGCAACCTATATTCATTCGTAGGAAAAAACCAACACTGAACGCAGACAAGCAAAACGCGCTCTGCACACACACCACCAGAGGTAACCGCTGGTAGCACCTTGGGGTGAGTGCGTGAGTTTAAGTGTGTGCGTGTGAGAGCACTGCTTCCATCGGTGAGACGTGTGAGGCAAAAAGACACAGATCTAGGAAGGAGGGGGCAAGGGCCCCAGGATGACTCCATCAGGCAGAAAAGCTCGCTGACTATATCTTGATGAGCTTTGACAATGAGAAGAAAAATCAAACTTTAAAAAATAATGTTTAATGTAATGCAAATTGTTGAGATCATAGCTCTTAGTGATCTTAATATACTAACACTTGTTTCTTTCTTTCTTTTTTTTTTTTTTTTTTTTTTTTTTTTTTTTTTTTTTTTTTTTTTTTTTTTGACAATTCAATTCGGTATTTGGGAGGGATTCTTTCATTCAACACACACTTAAGAGCCCCTGAGCCCACACTGTGTGTTGCGGGCTAAGGTTACAATGAGACGGCCTCCGCCCTCCAGGGGCCAACAGAGGACCCACTGGGAGGGAGCCACCACCTTTGCTGGGGATGTAACAAGGAAATCATCCTGGAAAGTGACAAGTGAACTCAGTTTTACAGCCGACTGAGAGGAGGGGATGAGGGAGGGCGGAGGGAGCAGTGTTGCAGATGGGGCAGCAGGGGAGGGGGGTGCTAATAGAAAAAGCACACGACTGGAAGTCAGGAATCCTGGGACGCAGTCACTGTTCTGCAACTTACGAGCCACGAATTATTGACGTGTATTGTTGACAACAACAAAGTATCGCTTACTTTTCTGGTTTTGGCTCTCCATCTGTACAATGTTTTAATAGTTAGTACCACCCTCGCTACTTCGCAGTAGGGCTGTAAGGAAAGCCTCCAGCAACTACAAAGTAACTGCTACCGTGTAACGGTTCCGGGCACTTCACAAGCTCCCTTTCTTCGTCCGTGCGGCACACAGAAGATGCTGTCGCCAAACCCTTCCGGTGAGCTTGCTTCCCTGAACGCAGGTAACAACAGGTCTCTTTAGCAACTTCTTTGCCATGAGGAGGTATTTCAGACAAAAACCCACAAACTGCCCGAATTGCCCCCAGTCCTGCCACAAACAATGGCAGAAGCCTCTACCAAGAACAAAGTGCTAACATGCTATATATAAAGCACATACGCACGCACACGCCCATATTCCATACAGAATTTTCAGCACGACACAGTCCTCTAACCTACTTTCCACTATGTCATTTCTACCGTGAAAGACAACCCAAATCTCCTCCGTACAAGACGGCGTTTTTTCCTACTCTTCTCCCACCACTTTTGTGGACCACCATTATAACCTGTATATACCACACGCCATTACTTCGGCAGGCTGGCGCTTGGGACAGATCATCTTGATACTCTCGTTACTCTCCTGATTTGCAATACTGATTCTCACACATACGCTTTTCTCCAGAATCCTATTTCCCATGTCAAAAGTCAGATCCCATCCTTTCTCCTTCAGTGAGAAAGTTTTGCACTGATGAACATTATTCCCCCTCCCAGATGGGGTGTGACCAAACCATTCATGTTGTAAGACCAAACCAACCTCAAGTTGATAAAATCTACACATCATTTTTCACGTGTATTATTTTTTTTATCATGCCACTAGTCCTGAACCAAAGTGAATTCAGATACTAGATGATCTGGGCAGGCTGATTTCATAAGAACTCGTATTCAAACGATTACATTTCGTGAACCTCGAGGTTCGTGAATATTCAACCCGAATATATGTGACAGGACGGTGACACACACATCTCTTCTCTCCCAGCTCTCTGAAGCCGGAGACCAGGCCCGGCAGAATGTCTGACATCCGACGGGTCCTCGCACTGGGCTCATGGTACGCTTACTAAATGGCCGAAGGTCCCTCTGCTGCTACAAGCAAGCCCCGCCCCCTAAAGTCAGGCTTTCAAAAAAGATTCTTTGTCAAGTTAGTTACCTGGAATTCAGAAAACCTGATGCACATCTACACAAAAAAAACCCACACAGAGAGAAAAAGACGGTTGTAAACGTACCCTACGTTACTTCTACAGAGTAAATGAACGACTGGGACTTAACCTGGAAATACAGGCACAGCATTACGTGACCATGTGTACAGGCCGCTGCCCACAGGAAGCCCAGAGGCAAGGAGTCCGGTGTGTATGCTTACAGCCCGGCAGAGGGAAAAGGTGATGCGGAGCACGACGAAGGAGCAGAGGAAAAGAGGCTGCCGGCCGCCGGGATCCCGGAGAGTTTGGGACTCACTCCTCACCCTTTTGTTCTCTGAGGACCTGGGAGCACCCACACCCCCTATGGACGATCTAATTCAAGTTCTCCAAATGATTAAAAATGACGACGCTAATAATTAGGCTGCTTATAGTAATGTAAAAGCTGGGGAGACCACACACCTGGTGAAGTTATTAACTTGCTGTGATCGTGACATGTTTATACTGTTCAGTTCTGGTACATTCAAGTTGGATGACTGGTGTTTACTATGGCAATAGGATTGATGTGCTTTATTTGAGATCACACCATTACTACAACTTTCAAAACCTGGGGAAAAACAAGAAAAAGAGGCATGAAAACAGAAACAAACACCAACTTACTGGTCAGTTGTAACGACTATATGCCCATATTCTGATCTTGCATTTAAAACTTTTATAACGTGGCAGAGTCCATGCATTGCTTAAACAAGAAACATAACTTCTCTGAAAGGACAGACGGATATTAATTGTGGGCTGTAATTATCATCTCCTCTAACATTTACTGAAGGCTTAATTATGGATCTTATTTAATCCCCCAAGCTCCCCCATGAGGCCTGTGTTCTCATCGCTCCCATTTAATGCACGAATACACTGAGGCCAAGAAGTCGTCTGGGCCCGAGTGAATGTATGAAATTCAAGAGGGGAGGTGGCGAAGGGGACAAACGTGAGAATCACATGCAGTGCACAGGATGGCGATGTAAATAAACCGAGAGGTGGTAATGTAGAAAGGTGCATGCCGACTGAGGAAGAGCAAAGGTGTTACTCTATGAAAGGAAAGAGGATGTGACTTTTGCTTTAGAAGGTTAAATGTACAGAGGAAAGAGAACACGTTGGGAAGAACAGAATGAGAGAGACCAGCAGAGGAAGACTAAGGAAGGCTGGAAATAAACCTGTAGAAGTGATGTCCTCAAAGGCAGGAAAGGAGAGAATTTTAGTTCCTAGAACACCAAAAGCCTGAGAGACTATGACCGGTGAGCCCAGAGAGGGACATGAGAAAATGAAGCGGGCAGAGCAGAGGCCCGGTGGGGAAAGAAAGAGAAAGCAGCCGGCCCAGCTAGCGTGGGGGTCGGTGGCCGAAGCCGCCACGGCCACGGCACCGCCTTCACATTTATATGGGATTAGAACACACGGGTTACCTTTTACCTTTACCAAATATCTACTGATTTACTTTCTAGAGACAGCTCGAATGTCGACTTTTGCTTATGAAGATCTGCTAATAATCCATTCTCAGAAACAGCTCTGCTTCAAGTTACCTTCTGGTACTAAAAACACACGAGTCCGATCCACTTACAATTTTCCTTCCAGAGCAGCGCTGAGGTCAAGTATGTGCGTGTGCAAAACAGCTATGTGGAAACGTCCACGTTTCAAAAAATTTTCATTTTGGTTCAAAACTACAAAGAAGGGCAAACACTTCAAAGTAACGTCATAAGACTGAGTCTCACCAGAAAAATGGGCGCTGCTTCCTTTGCCTGGTGCTAAGCTGTGGATGCTCGATCCGTGACTGGGGCTCATGCTCGGGCTACTGAAAGGTCGAGGGCTGACAGGGTAACTGTCCTGAGATTTTGGACTCCGGCCTCCCAGACATCGTACTTCACTATCTGTACCATTCACCATTTCTATAAACTGACGCACTCTAGAAAGATAAGAGACAAATTTACTTAGGTCATTTTCAAATTTTTTTTATGTTTATTCATTTTTGAAAGACAGAGAGAGACAGAGCACAAGCAGGGGAGGGGCAGAGGGAGAGGGAGACACAGAATCCGCAGCAGGCTCCAGGCTCCGAGCTGTCAGCACAGAGCCTGACACAGGGCTCGAACTCACAGACCACGAGATCATGACCTGAGCCGAAGCCAGACGCTCAACTGACTGAGCCACCCAGGCGCCCCTACTTAGGTCATTTTCAAAGAGCAGTTTATTTAGTAGCAACAACAGATCTCTGAAAGGAAATACCTTAGGGACTTGTATCTATCAGTAAGTGTGGTCTTTAGATAGTGTGCTAAAAACACTACATGTAGTTTCATACACTGTACTGCTTAGAATAATTTAAAAATTTCCGGAAAAACCAGAGTATAAAGCAAAACACACTATCTCTCCTTTAATTAAGATTTACTAAGAGGGACGCCTGGGTGGTTCAGTCGGTTAAGCGTCCGACTTCGGCTCAGGTCATGATCTCACAGTCTGTGAGTTCGAGCCCCG